TAGTTAATATAAATCAGTGAAAGGGCTAATCTTATATTCATATAATTTCAAAGAGCAATTATTAAACAACGTATATGATTCTTAGAAAAAAATGTTTCAATGTTTGCCAAGAATATCAAATCTCTAGATAAAATACTAAAGTCAATTTGTTCAGCCCCAACAATCGAACTTCTATAATACACCAATGCACAACCAATAAAAGAGCACCATTTACAGACAATGGACCTCTAAACAGCGTGGCGATTCTTGCACGATGAATAGCAAGCTTTACACAGAAATCGAGAAAATAAACAATCACGAAATATGATTAAACGTATTTTTGGTTCAACGTATATCGATTTGAATGCAAACGAAGTAAGGTATTATGGCGTGTTGGTATCTGTGAGCGCAACCTGTAAACACATCTGCCAAAACCAAGTTATGGATCCTATGAAAATAAAAAAACATAACAGAATTATTATTATGACTAGGACATTGTCAGTTAATTACAAAGGAATAATTTATTGCGCACAATATAACTTACCCATTATTTGCGAGATCTTTTTAAAACGCTTCTTTTTATGAAGCACTCCGAGGAAGTATATTGGTGATCCAGTCAGAGTTATAGCCAATCCAATAGAAGAAACAATTGGAGTTGTATAAAATGGGACAACAACCAAAAACAGTGACATTAGGATGAACAAGCCTGGTATTACTAGAGGGAGCTATAACGAAAATGAAGTAATATATTAAAACCAAAACCAAGTAATAGATCCTATGAAAATAAATTTAAAAAAATGAACAACATTATTATTATGACCAGGGCATTGTCAGTTAATCACAAAGTATATTGTATTACGCATGATATAACTTACCCATTATTTGCGAGATCTTTTTAAAACGTTTCTTTTTATGAAGCACTCCGAGGAAGTACATTGGTGAGCCAGTCAGAGTTATAGCCAATCCAATAGAAGAAACAATTGGAGTTGTATAAAATGGCACAACAACCCAAAATCAGTGACATCAGGATGAACAAGCCTGGTATTACTAGAGGGAGCTATAACGAAAATGAACTAATATATTAAATCTACCCACGAACAATGTTACAGTTGTTACGGCGTTCTAGTGTCTTTGGTATTATATTTACTTATAATATTTACCTTTATAGGGCGAGGCATATCAGGCTTCTTCCATCGCAACCATACCATCCCACATACAGCAAGACCCGTGGCTAACCAAGTCATGAAGCTTGTGTAATTAATAAGGGTGTCAATGTCCCCGACTTGCAGCATAATCAATGATATCACTACCTAGAAGTGTCAACGGAATTCTCCAATGTAATTCAATACATAAAACACCAAATTAAATAGCTCTTTTTTTACAGATTTGAAACATGTACATAAAATATGCGGACAAGGCAGAAAAGAATGCATCAATTCATGAATTCACGCCTTCCGACTTACGCCAAACGGGATTAGGATTGTAACACAGTGGCCATTGTTTTGGGAATTTGATGAATCAGCTTTACTATTAGTTTCACGTTGTAGATGGATTGTATATGTTTAAAATTAATATAATTAGGATACATATTCTTGCTAACTCGGTAATAATGCAATAGTCTTACATTAAACAGAATTGCTGGAACTGGTGTGCGATTTTTTATATGTATCATTGCCAACAATTCCGGAAGCTGTTTTTCTCTCGCACAGGAAAAGTAAAGTCTGTAAAAATAACAATAATAAAATAGACGCATTAGTGGCACCCAATGTTGATAAGGCAACAAATACTGGCATAATTCAGGCCATCACGCCTAAAGTGGAATCGGCAAATGTCTGTAAATGAATTAAAGTTGTTACCATGTATGTACCAAAGGTAGTAACTAACGCACTAATCACAGAATAATTGCATCTGTCGCCACCTATTCCCTATCTGTTCCAGTACATTCAGCGCATTCAGTGTAGAATGGCCTGTTTCCCATCAGGCTAATATCTGGGAGATATCCCGCCATATTATAAAATACTCACCACTGCGACTGCATTTGACACTAATAACTCTTGTGAAGACATGACAGTGAAATAGGCGATGTTAGTCAGCAAATAAATACAAGTTATCATGATTATAGCATAGACAACAGCTAACGGCAAATTTCTGTGAAAATTATAAAAGTGATACAAGAAATAATTATGAGGAAATCTTATGGATTACAAACTGCCTAACCGATAGTGGTAGCATCAGTTTCACTCTTGTCCAGGCTGAATACCAAACAAAGAATTGATGCTTACTGTGCCACGTATAAAACTTATATTAGTCTTTCATCCAATTGATTAATCATGAATAATGGGTATGCTTGAAAACAAGACTACACATAGATAAAGATATCATTTGACAAAACATTATTTTGTCTAATTATGTTCAACAATCTGTATTGAACATACAGCACCTTGGCAGAAATAGGAAGAATAAGATAACCATTGCAAATTATAAAAAAAAATGAAAGTTGAGAAAAACAAAAAGGCAGCCATTCAATCATTTTGAGCCAAAACAAAATCACATGTTCCAGCCATAAGGAATGTCAATAAAAAGTTTGAATACAACCAGCCTTAGACATGTTTATATGTTGTGGGACAAACATAGCCGCCATCGCAATGGCAAAAGAAACGGGATAATGAAACGTTTTTGTGAAGAAAATAATATGTTAGTTTAGTCACACTTGAACATTTATCTGCTGTTTTTGTCAGTCAGATATGAAGATTCTCATTTTGTTCAGCGTCATTAAACAGTGCCTCGAGCTGTATTCTGCCGCTATATACGTTCTTTTGATTGGTTCATTGATCAATGCAGGCTTTATTAAATGGAATTCAAACGTTATAAATGTTTTTGTTTGTATACCTATTATGTATTAGCACCATTAAGGAGATAAAAGTGTGCATTAGGGTAAGTATTTTTCAGCTATCGGCTAATGTTCATAAGAAATGTTAGCTCTATAGTGATAAAAATACAGGGCAAAGTCTGGGCAAAAGGGCAATTCTCACTGGTCCTCCTTTCCCGGGAGATGTTGCGTTAAATCCTGCTTGACTTGACTTATCACCATGAAATCAAGTCTAGTCTTTATAGCAACATTAGAGCAATATCTCAGTCCACAGCGTGCTGTGATAATAACAAGAACAAGACAAGAAGGCTTCTATTTTGCTGAGTCATCATCCAAAAGCAAGAGGAGTGCAGTTTGAAAGAAGTTTTTACATATGCTTCTAGTACTAGATTGATGCATCAGTCAATAACCGCACCTGAGACAGTTTAAGCAGTTGCAGCAACCATTTTCTATGCTCTGTTCTCTTCACACTGTTCCAGAGTAACATTGTCTGGTTTTGTGACAGAATCCGCTAGTATTAAGTTGCTGATTTATGTTTATCGACACTCAATAATTGTGTTAATACTCGGGGAACATTCAACCCGACGAAGCAAATGCAAACTCGTAGTTTTTACCCTGGCCCATGAAGCATCACGGGTGTATGATAGGGTGCATCCCTGCTGCTTTCCCAGAAAACGAAAATGTAAAAAGCTGACTGATAGAAAGAATTTGGCCAAGTTGTAAAAGGCCTGTAAGAGTGCTTCCACAGCATGTTCGGACATGTTTTCGCCACCAAAGGATCATCCATTCCCCCAAAGGTTTCCTACTGAGACTTCAAATGTGATTTGGTTGTGCATAGTCCATTGGTTTGTCCAACCAGAAATTACATAGTTTCTCTGGACAACACTGCTGATGTAACAGATGGCTACCAACTTCTAATAAGCTGGTTTAATCACACAATCTATCAATAAAATGGTAATGCATATGCAAAATGTGCAAAATATTAATTTGAAATTTTGAAAAAAATAAAAATTTTGTTCAAACCTAGGACAGAAATGGTACTGATTCCAAACTTTACAATAGGTTACAATTCTTGTGAAAAAACTGAGCGGAAATACCTGATAGAATCCCCCTGATCATTTATCAAAAAGTGCTTTCAAGAGAATGTAAGTTTTTGAAACTTCTACCATCAGGACGATTGGAATAACCTTTACATACATATTGGTTATTAAATGTGATATAGTTGGGGAAAAGTTTGAGTAATGTCAAATGTTCGATTAATTAGTTTGAATTAATATTCATCTGTATAAGATCATAAGTATTGCTGTTTGTAGTAATATAATTATGATCATTAGCCGTTCAAAATAAATGCCAAAATTAAAGCATGGCATGCAAGAGACAAACAAAATGTTTAATGAGACTGAAGACAACAATAATGCCATTATTCATGTCAAAACAGTATTGGTCGCAGCTTGGTAACATGAATTCAGGTTTTAAGCCATGCTTGTATCTTATTGGACTATTTGGTCTTACAGATATGTAGTGTAGCATCCCTAGCATTCACTGTGACATAATGAGAACCTCAGCAGCCTCTGATTGTCATGAGTCAGGTACTAGGGCGAATAATGACAGACAGAGACTCAAGCTTATTATGTCATTGACTTAGAAGTGATGTGAAACATATAGTTTTGAAGCGAGTCATAATAAGAATGTAATAATATGTTCATCATATGTATGTGTGTTCACTATGTACATTCTTGTAATACAGCACTCGGGATCTGTGTTTTCTGTTCGTACGAGTCACTGCATGTTTTGGCACTAAACTAAATCCCTTTTGAAAAGTAAGGTTGACCTTCAAACTCATTTAACAACATAACAACATTTGATTTTGGTCTCTACACTTTTGTTACAAGATTTGTTACTATGTAACATTGTAAAAAAAAAATTAATTAAACAGTTATAAAGTGTTCGCCTCATAGTAAGGTTTATTATTATTGTAATACATCTAGCAGCATAAATATAATTCACTACCATGCAAAGATGGATACATAAACCTGTAATAGCTTCACTCATGTTGATGTAAATAATACCAACCGTAGCCTCAAGGTTATACCATAGACTATTACAAGATTATTTTATAGACCATATAGCATATTATACAATTAACTTACCATCCTGAATAGGCCCATAAACCTGAATACATAGCCAATGCAATGTCTCCAGCAGATGTTGTACGTTCCTTCAAAACTGTTCTTAAAGTTTGTTGTGTGGCCTGTCCATAGAAAATTAAATTAAAAAAAATTCTTCTTCCGAGTTAGATTAACCCTCTGAGTAAAATGTTGTGATTTATTTCATATACTAAGTTCAATATAATCGGACACAGTGCATTTCACTGGTCAGATTGGTTAGTTGCAAACATTAGGTGTTGACTTTAATATTAAATTATGAATTGGTCAGAAACTTAAATATCTTAAAATCCCAGACCTCAGATTTCTGTTTAGGGATTGTCCTAAATTACATGAAACTTCATATCATCCCCTGCGATTCTGCTTGCACATTTAACTTCTAAAAACACGTTTCACAATACATCGTTCAGTATTTAACCAAAACCACTGTATAAACTTATGAATACTCATTTGGTTTGATGAGTGAGCAATGCTGTGCGTATTTTATATAACACCTTAATGTAGACAAACTCAGCAGATATTCACAGTAGAGAAATTGGTCCTGTTGTGCATATTAATTATTTAAAAAAGAGCAGTATTATATATAATTATTGTTTCTTTCAACAAGTCAACCAAGTCCCTAAACTATCAAGTTTATAATTGTCAACAGTGTAAAACAAAAATATAGAAGTATACAAGTATGAAAATATATCGGATTACACATGACTCGTCTATGCCTGTACATGTGCTAGTTTTGCATCTTCCCACATTCCATTAGTCATAAACAATCACCAAGGTATGCCATGTCATGCAATTAGGTCTAAAAATGGTAACATTAAATACATACCTTGTGCTAAGCACACTAATCCTGTGACAATAATAATCGTGGTGGCCAGTATTTTAGAATATTACAAGAAGTTATTCAATCGAACACTCCATCGTGCACTACTAACATTCACGAATGACAGGAAAACTAAAATTACAAACCACCAAGGTTAACAAAATTGTGATGGATTATGTTTTTGAAACAGGTGCAATGGTTTTACATGTATAGCAATAACAAATAAAATATACTATTACAAGCCTTTCAACTGGGAATATTGAATAAATAACAAATGGTTGAATGGGTGGATACGTTTTTTCTTTGCATGGCAAAATTTAGTAATAAAGTTTTGTTGTGCAAAATATACTGTCCAAAATTTAGGTGTGAACAATTGTGACCAAATATAGACAAAGACAAGTCGTCATAATTACATACAAAATAATTAATATTCATGTTCCTCGATTAATACTACATGTACTATATTAATCCCAATATTCCCAAAACATAAAAGTGGAGCAACATATCTAAGCAAAATTTGTATTCCTCAATTATTACTACATGTGATGTATTAATCTCAACTTATTCTATATAACATGAATTGTATAAAAGTTCCCAAATAATTCATGCAGTATTATTTGAGTAAAATAAAATACTAGATTTCAATATTGATATAATTCAGCATGATGTTATCAGGATTTATGAATATGGTAAACAATATGTGCTTGGTTATGTCAACAGAACCCAACACAATACGTCAACTGACAATAAGTATTACAGTGTTTATTGTATGTGGCTGTCTGAGTTGCCAGCATATACAGGGTGGGCTCATACTCAAATAGTTTCGTAGATGTAGGGAAAATGTACACTTGTGAATGACGGTCGACGCAGTAAACACAGTGAATTTTTGATGCTTCATGAAAATGTTCTAAATTATCAAACATGTATATAAAATTTAACAGCTTGCAGTATAATCATAGGGTGAGATAATTAAAACCGTACTTACGGACACCAGCCACAGCCAATAGTTGTCTTTTCAACTGTGATTGACACTCATAAAACACGGGATATAAGATATAATCGGCGAATACTAGAATGATAATGGCTACACTGGTGGGTTTCTCTATGACCATCATCATCCAAAGATGCAGGAATGCCACAAAAGGCACAAACGCTTCATATAAGTAAATGGTTATTCCCCCAAACTTGGGAATCGTTGTCCCCAGCTCTGCATAGCACAGACCGCCAATGAGTGAAAATATTCCACAAACAACCCAGATCACCAGAGCAAGCCCAACTGAGAAAGTGTTGAATAGAACGCCCTTCGGTGATATGAAAATACCAGATCCAATAACTATACCTGTGATCAAAAGAATTCCATCAACTAACGTTATTCTTTTTTTGATACGAAAAGTTTCCTCTTTTTCATTGGTATTTTGATCTTCAGCTGGTACATTTCTATGTGAAAGGCCAGGAGATTGACTGTTGACTGCAACGTTAGCCATGTTGAAAAACAACTGTTGACAAATGACAAAACTTGGTTTATACAGTTACGTTGATCAATAAATCACATGACAAGAAACGCAATAAATCACAAAATACAAAATCACTCAACTGCTTTATGGTATGTGTAAATTTCACTTGTTGTATACTATTGAATGACAGACTTGCTTTGTAATGGAAGTTTATTTCATGAGAGAACAAAATAAAGTACGAGTAAGACAAAGACATTGTTAGAGATGAATCAATTAACGGATGCAACTTTGGAAGAACTATGCTTAAGGTCCGAAATGTTCTCCTTTCATAGTATTTTTATTACACTCTAAAATGACAAAATACAACGATGTGGCTCTTTTTTTGTGATATGATTTTCACGTTCAGGAGTATACAGATTACCAATTTTAAAAACGGACATTGGCCGTCTGCCTCAGTCTACAAGTTGATTGATTAGTTCCCAGTAATAAAATGGAGAGACGCTGATGAGTGCATTTGCAACTAATAAATACTACAATCCAGGCTTATTTTACCACTGCTTTCTTGTTGTGTATGAAGCAGAGGTTATATGACGACAGTCCGAAGGTCGAAATGTCTGGCCAATACCGTAATAAAACATTGAATACTGCTACATTATGATAGGTAGACGGCCACACAGCTTATACAAAACAAGAGTGCCCTTCAACGTCAGAAATTGTGCACACAACTTTTTTTTTCATATATGACTTTGTTTAAAGTTGTACAAGACCGTCCTTCTGACAGAATAAGCAATTGAGAATCTCACACATATTTAATTAAAGAGGTAACTAAGCCACAAATTGACGGTTTCTTTTCAGGGTTGCCAGCACTATTGTTGTACACAAGACCGGCATTTTGACATTTGCAGCGCCCATATAACTGGAAGAGGTAGCTATTAAAAGTTCTGATAAAGTCCAGATTTCATGTCATATGCAGTTGTTTTCATACACATATTGGTAATAACCAGTTTCAATTCATGTACTTTCTGAACTTTGAGCTTGGCCAGGTTTGGAATTTCAGATAGGAATGAGTTATTCCTCAATTATTGAAAGAGTTGTCTATGCTGCATTCGGACCAGGACTTTCTTATTGGTGGTAAAATACTCGAATTCACTATTCTGTAGGTTTTAGCCTTTTGTAGAGTGTGCATTTATGGTAAAATGTCACTCGTGATATTTACAAAATGCAGACCATAAATATGGCTTTTACACGTGCAAATAACTATACCAGTTATTGTCAAGTGCATTAATTCCACATTCATGACATTTAGTTAGGCTTTGTAAAAAGTCGATTACACTAGGGTTTAGAGTAATACATACAACATAAATCCGATCTTTACTATGCAAGAAAATGAACCAATACTTTATTTCATATAGAACGAACAAAATGAAAAACAAATACTCTTCCTTTGTTACTTATATAAACTTGTAGTCAATACACTGTTCGCCATTCTTTTAAAAATACAATACACTAAATGTTACTCGAAAAATAGGGTCAGAATATAAGTGATTGTAATTATATTTTTCAATGTGCTGGATATGAAACATATTACCATTAGCACTGGCTTACAACTGCCCCCCACAAATTCTCTTTGTGTGTACCAGTTATTGATGAATAAAAGGCACATGATAATTGAGGAAGCCGATTGAGTGTACCTTTTCAGGTTTTTTAGAGACCGATAGTTTACAAGTTGCTTGTGGCTTGTGGCTTTGGGCACCACTGTATCATACACTATATGCATCTTATATGAACTACTCAAAACCTACATAACAGCTAACAGTTTACAAATAATCATGAAAGAATGAGCTTCAGTGAATCAGTGAAAGATGGCGTTGAGTTATCAAAACTAAACAAAATGGTTACAATAATTTCAATAATAATCGTTTCATAACCAAATGTGAAGGAACCAAAGTGCAATAGTGCTGATAACCAGTATGTAAACACAGCGATGGTCACATTTGCTCGACAGGGCAAATATGGTGTATATATTTTTCTTAATTTTGACATCATTCCCAATGCCATGATTGCCTTTACACTGACTTTGTTGTAACACATATGTCATATAGATTTTACTCAAGTGTTATTCAATTTCTTCTGATACATTTTTAACTTGATTCCCCCAGAGGTGTTCATAATTCAAATTGGAGTCAGGTGTTATGACTTCAAGTACAAGTACTTGGTAAATTATGTGTAATTAAAGCATCAGCATAAGGAACTAAGTCAAAACCTATAAAAGGAATGTTGAACAGGGACTGGATGATGAGGACATGTGCATAACATTAAAAAAAAAGAGTAGAAAAGAAATAAAATACTTGATAATGCAGGAATGGATCTTACATAGTAGTGACATAGTGTAGATAAGTTGCCCTATAAATAATAAAGACATTGCATGTCAAAAATAGATAGGGTACTTTTAAAATTTGGTTTACATAACACTGATATTTGGAAAAAATATAAATGTCTGAAAGACCGACATCTAGCTTTGGTTTTAGAGTCAATTGTTACAGAAAACTGCAGAAAACAATTAAGGCTAATGGGTTTCAGCTGCTGCTTTCTTGATTTAATATCAGTGACTACAAAGCTTTAAATAAACAACATAAAAATCTCTCCAAAATAGAGTTGACATTTGTACAAAACTTACACTCATTTATAATAAATTACTGCAGATTTTTTTTTTAAATCTAAGAATGAATTGTAAAAAAAAAATTATGTATATTACATGTCCTTTGGTGCAATTTTAAGATTGTGAGTAAGATAATACAAGATTTGTTATGTATCTACAGCTCGCTACCCCGTTGTAATTTAAACACCCCTAATCCTTCCTAGAGAAAATCTTCTTCCAGTTTACCGCCTTCCTTTGGATAAAGCGGTTCTCACCATGATCACAATTATTTATGTGATCTATTAATGATAATAATATGCATTAGCACTCTACCCTTAAAGTTGACAGACAGATGAGCACCATTTGAAATTCTGTGTCTTATTTCTGAAAATTTGATTATTTCTCTTTGCAATTTGGACAACAGTCTGCATGATGACTTCAGAATTATTTGACATTTGTACTGAGATTCACCTGCTATCTCGATTTCAATAAACAATACGAAATATATTCTACAACACAGTACAGATGTGTTAAATAGCGTAGTATGCTTCAAATAAAAAAGTTTATTTCATTATTTTTATTACCTACATTATTGGGTTATTGATGAATTGCTTCAGTTGATAATGCACATACGATGGTCAGTGCAACTATATATGAATCAGACCGGTATGAAATATTGATTCTTTGTAAAACAAAGTCACTATCATGATGCCACATAAAATGTCTCTATAGCAGTATAGTCTTATCCTCTATTGGTTTGTACCAATGAAAGGACTGTGGTATGGCAGCATGTTTTCGCATGATGTCTAGTTTAGATCTGTGAGCATCTACAGCCAACCTGATTCCCTTTAAAGCTGTATAAATAAGGTTTTTATATAAATTGTTCAATGATCCATCACTGGATTTAATTTGTGGGTTACAATACATATAGATGTCTTCCCATGCTGTGCAGCTATATTCATACAAGTACTTAATAATAGTTTGAAATTTGTGTTTGATGTAAATGATACATGTTGCACTTCTCATATAGTGTCCTCCTGTGGTTCACAAACCAGATTCCTATGACGACTCATGTTCACGATATGACCTTGGGTCACTCGCCCTGGGAGATCAAGCAGTAGTCCAGACATTGACTGATATTTGACTACACCCTCACTTCAGTCCTGGTCAATCCCAGTGATTGGCTTTCTTCAGGCGTTAAACCACTTTTAAGAGTTCTTCTCACTGAAAGAGAGCAGAAAACAATTACAATGTAAATACCTAGAACATCAGCAATACTATCCTATTTGGAGGTTATTTGAAGGTAATGCTGGATATAATATGTATTATTATACATCTGTCACCAGAACGAATTCCAAATAAGAAATGATTACACGCGTAAGCGTCCTCTAATAATAAAAACAAACATGGCTGCCACCAGAATTTGACCAGACTCCAAACAAAGAAGTTCGATACTCTCACTGTACTGTCTTTGTGCACATTTTGAGGTATCCTCGTTATAACCTCATAGTATTGATAAGAGCAGTGTTCATATTTTTATGTGTATGTAAGTGAGAAAACAAATATCAATATTGCTTCTATGCAACACCACACTGTATCTCTGGCATTACTCGTGAATAACCTCTTTATCTGTAATGGCATGAAATTTGCCTATCACCAACCATGTCAGGCTTTGTTGGAAAAAAGATGAGCATGACAGGTAGCAGCCCGAACCTATGAGAGCAGCTGAGAGCACAAATAATGTGAGGGATTACTGTCAAACATCAAATTATGTTAACAACTAGGGAATTTTCTTATTTCTAACAATGTACTGAGTAAATTTGAATCTGGTAAGGCTCTGGATTTGGAGTTGCACTTTGTGAGCCATTGTTATTTTTTTGATCAAATCAAGATTTAGTACCTGCAAAGTGTTTTCACCGATCTTCAACTTTGTGACCCGGTATTTCTGGCTCTTTATAATGGAATGCAATTATTACAGTTTAAAGATATAATATACTACAACATTTCTGATCATTTTTTTTTCAAGATTTCAGTGTTCATCAAAAACGCTGAAACGATTGTTACCAAAAACTAATCAGGTCTGTGAATAGTCATTAAGCATCTATGTACCAAGTTTTATTGAAATGTAATGATTAGTACTTGATATATTTGTAGAAAATTCGAAAATTGACTAATTATTATGCAAATTAGGTGATTAATATGCATGGGGATTCCTACCCAGAACTAATCAGGTGTGCGCATTGTCCCAGAGCATCTATGTATCAAGTTTCATCAAAATCAAATGAGTGGTTCTTTAGATATCAATGGAACAGTTATGGTACAGCTAACAATCAGCTGATTATCATGCAAATTAGGTGATTAATAAGCACAGCTTTTAACCAAAGACAATTAAGCTAAGACAGCACTTACAAGACTTCCTATTCATCTGTCTAGCTCGCTTTCTTTCCCTAGGAGTATGTCTATTAGCAGGTGCTGTAGCTGACTTTACTAATAATTCCATCATTTCATCATTAGTATCATCCATCAGCAACTCATCTGGCCCATGGTGACGTCCTAACACCAACAAGAAATAAGTTAATCAATTATGGCAGAATCCTTCTCAAATCACAGTAATTGTGATTGTCCAAATACAGACATACTAATTGAATTTCAAATTAATTAATATGAACTTACCCTGAGGTTTCCTTCGGTTCTCCAGAATTTTATCACCAGGTGCTGTACCACTTTTTGTCAGTAATGATTTAAGTTTATCATCGTCATCCTTTGCTTTTTGTATTTTGTTGAAATTTTTAGTCTGTGAAAAGAATCATTAAAAAGTATGTTAATGCGGATGCATTAATAATAAATATTAATGAGCAGGAACCCCCCCCCCCCCGCAGTTTTTAGTGACTGTTAACAAAGTGCCAAATAATTATTTACACTCATGTTACAGACATGCATTTTTATTCAACATCATTCGTTAGAATTAAAATGTCCATCAGTCAGCCATTTTGACTCAAATCTGGGGAGGTGGACAGATGTTTAGTTGACAATATTTTCAATGATATATGGCCATGCATGACCAAGATCTAGTTCCGGAATGGCATAAATGCTTGATTTTGATGAATGTTTAGCAATAAAATTTGGCCATCTTGAATTGCATCATGAAACGAATACATGTACACATGTGTGATATGATGTGTGATATTTGAATGAAATCGGCTCAGGCATGTTTAAGACACAGGTGCAGAAGGACGGATACACATATGCCTGAAGGTGAAATTATAAGACTTTGTTTTCGGTCTATGTTCAAACAGGAACTAACAGCCACTATGTTACCAGATATTGGTGTTAAGGAGATTTCATCATTAACTATTTAAGAAGTTATAAATGTTCAGAAATGAGTAAATACTTCAGGATATCAGACTCACATCTGTTATGAGTTTTCCCCTCGTCTTGTTTCTTTCTCTTTGGTTGGCCTTCTTCTTCTGCATCTCTTTAACTCTCTCCCGTGTTGTTCTATACTCGAGGGCAAATTCACTGATAATCTTGCAGAATTCATTGATTTTATAATCTTTTGCTGAATCCCGTGAAATTCCAAGGAAAAGCAGTAATCTGTTAAACCTGCAGTGGTGAAGTTAGACATATGTGAGCCCTTTGTTGTAAAGGTTTCATGAATCTTGGCACAAAATGTTTGTAGACAACATGATTTAAAGGCCATGACAAATGGTGGCTTTAATACTATGATATTTTGAAATACCTTGAAATTTATTATCATTATGATTCTTAATAATATATTACAAGATAGAATTGCAGATTTCAGTTAAACCAACCTGTTGATAACCCTTCTGTGAACAGTTTTTAATACTATTATCCTTTCAGCACAATCTGCCAAAAAATCTTGTAGCCTGAAAATCAGATGAAAAATTAGAATTATATTAATGAATATGCATCACAATATCATAACTTTGATTTTAAGGTTGATTTTAAGTAGTGATAACTACACCAGAAACCATGCGTTGATTTGACTATGCCTTTAAACAGGATTTGGAAAAGATGGATCTTAAATATACCAGTAAAAATTCAAATCACTTACTTGAATCTTAGCTCTGAATGACTGTCATGTTTGACTATTGCTTTTAAATGATCCCATGATTCCTTGCATCGTTTTTCCATATTACTCAGATCATGAGCGACCTCATCAAAATCAACCTGGAATTATAGCACATAATAAGAAATTCATAAAATTATGCAAGCATAACCATGAGCAAAATCAATCCTAACCCCTAATTAGGATATAGACTGTTGTTCTACTTGGAGGATACGATAAATTTGGTGTTCAATTTCAGATGTCATATGAGTATAATAGTTTTTATTAAGAATCAAAGAAATGCGGGGCCTTACCTTACTGCACCTCGTGATCGGGCCAATTTCTGAGTACAGATCACTGGTGTCTGGAAATGTCTCCATGACTGTGTTGCATAGATGATAGAGTAATGTTTGTTTTCTGACTGTATCTTTGACTTCTGGGACTTTGGCAAGATATTCCAACTGAAAACCCTTGGACTGCAACAATAAAACAGCAGAATTAAAGGTTTTGATTAAATCAAATGCATCTCATTTGTACATAGGTAGAAATCTCTTACTACCTGAGTAACTTACCTGCGAGTCATTCAGAAAGTTACCAATAGTAAGCAATGTTGCCAGAATTTGCTTAAAAGTTTTATTGACTTTTAACTCTTCCATACCCTTCTTGAGGTCCATCAATGGCTCAGCCACCTCCTACAAATACAGCAATAAAGAACAATTCTTATTTTGATTCTCAGCAGCAGGTTTTGTCCAGTCATTTACACCGTGTCACTTGCAATAATAAATGAAGATACAGTCAAATTATTGTAGAGTAGTACTCATTGGGATAAGAACAGAATACAGAAAAAAAGAATACATACCTGCTCCATGGACTCGTATTCTAATTTGAATAACCAGAGATTCAGTCTTGCACTAAGTTCACTAATAGATGCTAGTGTGAGCAAGAACTGTTCTGCCGTTCCCAGCGGCACTTCTGGATTGGTTAACACAGCCTCTTTTATCTTTGTCTTTTCTTCCTCGGTGGGCAGCATTGTTAAAACTTTCTAAAAAGGGAAGAAATAAAGAGTTCAAGCGTTGTATTTTAAATTGATCACATAAATTTCTGACAATCAATTTTAAGAATTTGTAAACTACCAAAACATCAGGAAATGTTATATTTAAAAACATATTCCGTCTTGTTTTAACAAGAAGGGTGCAGCCACAGTCAGGTGGCGCACACGTGATAATAAAAAAAAAAAAATACAATATTTACTATATGGGGGCCGCCATCTTGAATGCAGGATAAAACTAAATAAGAGACAAGTTGTGAAATGCGTTTTCCAGATTCCTACAAATCTGGGAAAAAATACGATCCGTTGGGATTATATTAAGCCAACCGATAACAAAATTCGGCCGGATTCAGCGTTTTTGGGTGGAAAAATCCCTTGCATACAAACACCTAATTACACGAAGAACATAGAACATTTTCCTGGGGTATTTGAAACCGAAATTGTCATTGATTGGCTGCTGAGCTGGAATGAAATTTTTTGGTAAATACTGTGGAATACTTTATTTTTGCTGGAATTAATTTTCGCTGAAAAGGCTTTTTGGGCGTTTTGTATGGAATTTATTTTCACTGATTTTTGATGAGTTTAATGTGAAATATAGAAAAAAGTATAATCGCTGGATTTTATTTTCACAGAAACATCCCTTCAGCGAAAATGGCGAAAATAAATTCCAAGCGAAAATAAAGTATTCTACAGTATAGTACATGTAAATATCGTATTTATTTTATTATTACGTGTGCGCCAGCTGACTGTGGGTGCGGCCCACCCTACTACACAATGCACACAACAAAAATATGACAGATTGATTTAACTGACCTCAATGGCTTCTCTGTTCATTGCCATACTATCCATTGACAGTATAGCAGCTTTGATTGTCCTGATGTTCGGCAACACTGTCATACCAATGTTGATAGCATTAGAACGTTTGGTATCCAAGCATGTTATCTCCTTCTTCTGATTAGTTTCTTCTTTTTTCTGTATTTAAGTAAAACAACATACATGTTATCCAGCAGTGAAATGATTTTGTTCAGCACTCTATTGATCTGATTTTAAGACTCTGAGAAGGATTGCAAACATGTTTGCGGTTATAGGATTGAGTACAAACAAAATAAACATAGTTGCTGAGATGCTAAGATCTATCACAACTTTATTATTTGCATCATGGCTTCTCACACTGATGCATTCAAAAAATAAATGTGTTAAATACCTTCAATGTTATATCCTTTGTTCTTGATTCAAACAAATGTTCTAACTTTGTAGTGTCTAACTCTACTGTTTCTAGCTGACCCCAAATAGTGTTCTCATCTTTCTTAACCTGAATTGCAGGTGTTGGTCGAACTTCCTTCCAAAACAATCGAACAGTCTTTTTTGATTTTCTAGAAAGGGTCCCCCCTGTAGATTGATTTGGTGGTGGTGGTGGAGGAGGAGGAGGAATTCTCCCATCACCAGTAGTAAGTCCCAAAAATGGTGGTGGAGGTGGTGGTGGTGGGGGAGCTCCACCAAAGAAAGGTGGTGGCGGGGGTGGTGGTGGCGGTGCACCACAGAGTGTTCCATTATGAACTGGGATAATCTCTTGAAGTACATCTTCCTCATCAGAGTCACCAAGATCTGTGAAGTCCATATTTTTTATTTTTAGTTCCCTTTCAGTTGCTGCCATCAGTTCATCCCAGCGTTCATCGGCTTCCCTTTTAGGAGCTTCCACTTTACTTTGCCCTTTGTCAGTGCCCTGCTGAGAAGGACCAGAACCAGCACCGTGAAGTCCTTCCAGGGCTTGTCCGATGAAACCAGTCACATCTCCACTTGGACCAACAGGCCCTTTACCACTGGAATCATCAGTGCTACTTTGCAGCCGTTCATGGGCTGAATGCACTGCTCCAGCATTGTCTAAATCAACTGATCCTATGACATCCATTATATCCATATCTGATTGGAAAGTTTGTGATATCCTTCGAGTTGGAAGAGGTTTATCCATTTTATCCGATCTCTCTTCTTCTGTGTTTTTGGGCTTTGCCATCATTTGAAGCATCCAACGTTTGTTGTTCGATAAAGGCATATCTGATGAGTCTTTCCGCCTGTCCTGATCTCTTTCATCCATAACCTTCGCCATTCCTTCTTCTGACTCTTTCTGAGGATCCAACAATTGTGCCTCCAAATCTGATTCAGCTATTGGTCGACGCCTTGGATCCTTACTTGAAATTTTTGTAAATACTGCAAAATTACAAAGATAATTATTAATCACATCTCCTTCCCAGATGCTCTTAAGAACTGACCACACAAAATGACAATGTTTGTCACGTAACATAAAATAGACTTGCATGGCTTGAAAGGATTAAAAAGTCATGACAGTACAGAATCATAGATTATTGAGTGGCATGATACATGTATTATCATATGATAAAAATGTTTCTAGTGACAACAAGCAACCTTGTGATTGGTAGAGCTCTGCTGTAATTGACAAGTGCAGAGGGCAGTGGCAGTTACTAGGTGGATAGGAGAAGTGGAATCCCTGACAGTTTAGTAATTGTGGCAATGGTCACTGGAAGGCCATATCCCATAAATATTTGTGTAATGTAATGCATTAATATGTATAATTGATCATGTGGGTGTACAGGAACATGAAGTTGTTGTCTCTATTACCAGAATATATATTTTTGCACTGTTCAGCATCACCTATATAAAAGCAGCAAACGTTTAAAACCTTGAAATGACCTTGACCTGAACTTTCTGGAAAACACTGGTCCATGCAGTTCATTTTTCAAGACAATGTGTACTGAGAAAGCCTAGCCTCCAACTAATACAGTTGTCTATATATAACGTATGGGAAAGTGAAAAAATAAAAAAAATACATGTAGTAAAAAAACCCAGAAAAAATGGAGATGTCTTCACCAAATGAACAAACTTAAGAGAGGACCAGTCCATGTGTGTACATTATAAATTTCAAAGCAATGTGGCAGGCGGTTTCAGAGAAAAAATCAAAAAAGCAAAACAAATGCACTAAAAACACTAGACACTTGCATATAATGCCATGAAAACAATAAGTCTGAGTGTAATCCATGTCAACAACATTCATGCTAAATTACAAAGCAATCTGACAAGCGGTTGTGAAAAATATCATTTTAAACCATAAATGACAAAAGTATTCCCATATAGAGGTTTACATGTGATGTCATGATATGAACAAATCTGACAGAGGACCATCTCGGGTAGGTGTGGTATGAATAGCAAGGCAATCCTAGCTGATGGTTTTGGAGAAGAAGTTGTTTGAACGATAAAAGTTGACTGATGAAGTACAACGTTCGATAGACTAACAACGACAGGTGTGGTCAACCCATGAGCTCTGCTCGGTCATCTTCGATAATATGTATGACGACAATGTGTCATTCATACAACACAAGTGGAACAAAATAAGCATCACGAGTTTATCTTTACCTGGTGCACTACTTTCTGAACTCTCTGTTGAGGCAGTGGAAGCTGATGATATCATAGATGGTGTTGGTGATTTGTTTTCATCCCTGGAACTACTATTGGATGAAAAGCTTGACACTGAGCAGTTATCCCTCTCTTTGACATCCTCATTCATCTTCTCTTTCTCAGATGAAAGATTCACCTGACTCCTGTTCTTTGGCTTTGAAGCAGTGAGTTCTGTGAATAGACACAAAAATATGCATGAGTTCACCACCATCTACATCGATGTTAATAATTGTGTTAGTATAGTCAGCTGTGAATAAAAAAGGTGAACAGATTGTGATGAAAAGAGAAGTGGAAGACACACACTTACTCTTCGTGGATACAAGCTCTGTTAGAATATCAGAGAGCTCATCTTGCTCTAGCACTTCTGAAGAGTAAACACAGCACACCAGAAATAAGATGGAACACAGAAGAAGTATTAGACAAGAAGAAGAAACAGGGTGACAGAAGAGTTAAGAGGAAGCAAGCACCATGATGTAAATTTAGAAACTTTATCCCAGACAGTCAATTTGGCTGCAAAAAAGGGTCACACATGCATCATTTTGCACTGCATCTATGCTAGAATATTAGGAATGGTTAATGGTGTAGTAAAAGCTGTAGTAAAATGTAAAGAATTCCAGATAATCTGTTTAGATATATGGAGAATATTAGATGAAAAGTTGTTAGTACTGATTGTTCACTTTCTAGCAATAAGAATGCTTGAAGATAACTGCATCAAGTCATTACCCACACAATCCTAAATGATTTATACTAACAAACAGTTATGACAAGGGTATTTTTTTCAGTCACAAATATTTTGAATTTTGATGTAGAACTGATCATTAAGAACTGTGGATAATGTAATTGAGCCATGTCATGCTGGAAAAAAGTATATAATCAGTAGATGCGATTATGGTGATGTACTGTATATTCTGTGAAACGACAATGAACAAGTTATTATTGTATCATCAACTCAAGTTTAATATGTAATGCTAATCTAGAGCAGCATGCCTATCATATTGAACTAGGTATTCCTATCTATATCTGATTGGCATACACATACACAAGCATTATGCATACAAAAACACACCATACCTACCTTCCAACTCTGCTTCAGAATCACTGTCTTCTTCATCCATAAACTCTGTGGCCACAAAACATTCACACACACACACACAAAGAGAACAGAGGTGAGTCAGTTATACAATACCTTTGCTTAAAGAAGCTCGTCATGCTGTTAGTTATCTCGAATAGAACAAGGTCTTATTATACCTCTAGCGACAATTCAAGGCTAAATTCAATGCACATGAGTATAACATATTCTAATTTGGTAGTACATGTAATGTTAACTTTGTTAACTTGAGAATCTCCACCAGTGGTGGTCTTTCATATATTGCAAGTAGCGAGAGTCAAGTCATTGACTGAAGCTATGAACCATTATCATAGGGAAAAATCTTCAAAGGCGAAGACAAGATGCAAATAAAGAGAAGTAGTAAATGATGCAGGTAAGACTAATAAACAAAGATATTAAGCAAATAACTATTATATGATAGTTCTTTGGGGGGTTAGGTTATTAGGAGGCCAGTGTTGAATATGAGATGATTATTCCATAAAATGCAAAAAGTTTTATCATAGGCATGTGGACATAGACATACTTGTTCCTACAAGCCCACTGGCATTAAGTACAGCAAGCAGTAAAGCCAGTAAATTAGGTACAAGTCTGGCATTACACTAAGCATGTAGCATGAATTAACTGCTACTGAACAAGCATCAGTTAGAGATGCCTAGAACAAAAACCTGTGTACCTTTGTACAGATATAGTAAAGTCTTAAGAGTTGGTGTAGGAAGTTTCAATAACTCTGGGTCTAATAGAGGAGATACAAAGGATAGGAAGAAAAGAACACACAAAACACGAGTGAACACTAGGAGCAGCTACAGGGACATTAATCAGAAACAACTGTTTGATTCAAAGCAATAAACTTTGAACAGTTATCAAATTTCAGTAACATGGTAAGTCTCAATGAATGTATAAACGATGTTCATGCAGGTCCATTGTTACCTTGTAGCAGCATAGCAGGAGTATCAGGAAGCAGTTGTGTATTAGATGGAAGTAGAGCAGTAACTGCTTGAGGTGCTTCAACTTGTCTTGACTTATCTCCAGTTGCATTAGGAGTTTCACGTGGGCCAAGAACCAAGATTTCTGGCATAACCACTGGAGAAGGAGCTTCTTGTGGGGTTATTCCAGATGCGCTGTTTGTAAGATGTTGATTTAAAGTAGTTCCAGACTGCTGGTTTGCTCGATGAAGTTGCATTAGACTCGCCAAAACTTCAGGAGAAGGAAGATTTGCCAGGACTTCTGGTGGTGGAAGATTTGCCAAAACCTCTGGTGAAGGAAGGTTAGCCAAAATTTCAGCAGATGGTAAATTAGCCAGAACTTCAGGGGATAGTTTAGCTAACACCTCTGGAGTGAGATTAGCAAGAATCTCTGGTGGTGGCAGTTTGGCCAAAATTTCAGGAGATGGTAGATTTGACAAAATATCAAGTGATGGCAATTTAGATAAAACTTCTGCTGAAGGCAATTTCGATAAGACTTCTGCAGATGGCAAGTTAGCCAAGACATCTGCTGATGGCAAGTTAGCCAAGACATCTGCTGATGGCAAGTTAGCCAAGACATCTGCTGATGGCAAGTTAGCCAAGACATCTGCTGATGGCAAGTTAGCCAAGACTTCTGCTGATGGCAAGTTAGCCAAGACTTCTGCTGATGGCAAGTTGGCCAAGACATCTGCTGATGGCAAGTTAGCCAAGACTTCTGCTGATGGTAAGTTGGCCAAGACTTCTGCTAATGGCAATTCAGTTGATACTTCAGACGATTTCAATGGTGACAATTTCTCCAATGGTTTAATCTTTGCAAGTGCTTCTGGAGATAGCAGTCGAGCTAAAATTTCAAGTGGTATCTTATTTTTGATTTGTGGAGGAAGTTTTGCAATAAGTTGAGGTGGAAGTGATGAGATCAGATCAATAGGAATCTGTAGATTAGGCTTAGAATCATTTTCACCAGGTTGCTCAGTACCACTTGGAATAATGACTGAACCCAATTTGTCTGACATATCTTGTTGCTGCTTCATCTTTTCTTGGTGCAGTAGCTGTAAATCGAAGGAATCCTCTGGCCAGTCAGAAGGGTACTGAGCAGCATCAGGAGTCCACAAAGACTGTATAACACCTTTGTTTTTAACCATTGCATCATCTTTCACTTTATGAAGAAACAGAATGATAGATTTGAAAAAAAGCAGAAGATATAATGAAATGGCAGAAGTGATAAAACATGAGTGAGTAAAACCAGACACATAGATATTTGTGTGAGAGTCCTACTTTGAAGAAAAGTATAAACAGGCCAGCAAAACAATGTATTGACTGTAATTCATGCAATTCACACAAACACAAACAAACACACACACACACACACACACACACACACACACACTATAAATACATGTCGATATTGGGGTAATTCATCAGACACAATAATACCCCCCTCTAATATGAATGCAAAAAACACACTAGAATGCATGTTATATACAAGAAGCACAGCAAACAGGGTCAAACCATAGTGAATACCTTGTGAAACCATTCTTGCATGTTCCTCTGGAATAGCTGGGAACTCATAGTTCTGTGGCAACAATTCTTTGTTGGGGGGAAAAACAAAAATTATATTGAGAGGAGATTGGGACTACTTGTACATGAAACTAATTCACAAAAAAAGTCCTGAACATGCAGAGGGGAACACAGAGAAGATATAGAGACAGTCAAGAAAGAAGGACAAAAAAAGAAATTAAGTTACCCTCTTCAGCACAAGTGATTTCAGTAATGTTATCATCAAGACCAAGATCAAGATAAAGGTCTTCTAATATGAACACAGGAAAGAAACACAGCAAACACAGCACATGGAAAACACAGGATAGTGGTGGTGTGTGAAAAAAATGGAAAATGGTATGTGAGGTTAAATACTAGTTAACATCAATAAAAAAAATGGAGAATATGCAGTCACAGCTCAGAAATTCATGCCTATTAATCTATAGAATAATTAATAAATCACTGAATAAGAAAAACCTCGAACAGAGAAGGGTAGTGAAAAATATACAATCTTTTAAACTTTGCATGTGGATAAATTTTGAAAATATCAATACTTTACAGTATGCTCAACTACCTGATGAATACAGCTGGTGACTGCGTGTGTTCGTTATTACTCAATAGATGAGCTGATGAAAGTGTAAGATTAGCTTGCACACACACACACACAGACACAGACACACACATAACGATTCTCCAAAGATAGTTTTACTTCTAACATGCGATGACAGTATCATGCACACAAGATAAACTATGATGGTGAAAACGATGATGTAGAGAATATTGGATATGATATATGTGTCTTTTTTAAGGAACAATCTAGTTCACTGCTACTGTATTGCGAAAGAAAATAATGAATATGCATCAATAATTGCATATATTTTGCTACGCACATCTCTCTATTCATGACAAAATGCAAATTAAAAGATGAGGCATCATGTAAGCTCCCATGATAAAAAAATTTATGATTTTTCCGTAGCATTATATTACATCACATTTGAGTAGAAAAGTCTGTAAAAAAATATAAACTAATATATAACTCGTTTCCTAGTACAAACATTAACATGGGAACAGACCCTCTTTTTTTTAATTTAACGTACTTACTTGCTTAAAAAATGTGAAGAAAGTGTTTTGAATTCTGAGTTTCTGGGAATTTCTGGCTTAAAAAATCAACTTATCCTCATGAAGAGAAGTCATTCTATTAACAGTTACATTGTAGCAAGATGATGAGATGGAATGTTAGATTGGTTAGTGATTAATCATTCCATGATGTATACTTAGATTCAACATTACACTTTTTTTTACTCACTTGGAATGTTTGCATTGACATCAGTTGTGGGTACATCCTCTGTAAAGTTTGAAAAGATTAACTGTTACAAAAATTCGAAGCCTTTGCTCTTACCTTGTGTATGCCATCGAAGCCAAATTTGCTACACTATTCACAGAATACTCAATTTATTAACAGTAAATCGTTATGGAACCAGGGAAACATTCTTGTTCCTATCTGTGATTACCAAATCATGATTTTCTGAATAATTTTTGGTGAAGACTATGCATGCAAAACTATTAATGGTCATTGTAAGCTGCGAAATTTCACAGAATTTCACACTCAAACAATATTGTAGCACAAAGAAAAGTCATGCCTATCAAATGCAGGTAGAAACTCTGGTCACTTAATAAACTGTTACTGGTTGTTATTACCCTCCAATTACATCTGATCAATTACCTAATCTTCAAATAACATATGATAAGCAGCCAGTACCTAAGTTAGAGACCACATTCGAGAATGACATGCCCTGTTTTATTAACATGCTTCCTAACTGGTTGATCAATCCTATAAGGGGAGAATTTCTCGACTGATACATGAATTTGCATATTAGGTAAATGAAAAGATGTAATTAAAAGTGATGTACACCAGCAACCTTAACGCCGCTACCCTACACCAAGATTGTGCAAGGTCCTGTATGCAGGACATCGGGCAAGAAATGCAAATGCTGACAAAAGTGCATCAAGCATCAATTTGTTGAGGAACAAGTTTGTTATGGAACTGAAAAACCATGATACTTGACAAAAAGTAGTGTTTGAGTCTTAATCACAATCAACAAACACTGCCACTATACTACATGTAAATATAATCTAAGCCAAGATGTATTTATCACATAACTGTATTATGTTTTGTGTGCTGTTATGCATTTTCTACATTGTGTTGCAGGCATTAACACTAACAATATCTCTTAAGTCCTTGAATTTACCACCCATGCTCTTTTACATGCAGCGTCATAGTATTTGAGCTGCTCCCCTCACCTTTGGCAGCATCTGTAAAAATTATCTCAGATTCGGTTTCTGACTCCGACTGAGACTCGTAAATGGATTCATCCCCACCTATATATTTAAGTGCAGCACACAACACAGAATGATAGACAAAAAGAGACACAGTAGTGCATAAGTGTGTGAAGTATAGTGAAGGAGAAAGTCAGTCAACAAAATAACATTAACACATGGTAGAGACAAAAATGTTGTGCTGATAATGAACATACTACATTTAAAGCTGTATTAGGTGCACTTATTGATATGCTTATAGAAGGTTGTGTTTCAGATTCTGACTTATTCAATATTTTTTGAGCTTATTACAGTGCAATAAACTGAAAGCTAGTCAATTTACACATAAAATAATGTCACAGTGATAGATTTATCACAGTACAGCTTTAGATGATCAAATACAGGCTGGATAATTATGTTTGGGAATACTGTTCAGACAAAAGAAATACATTGCGGTGATGCAGGAGGGACAGAACACTGACCATACATTAACACACCAACCAATTAACTTACGTTCAGCAGGAAACATATCTTGTCGCGTGAATCGTTTTGGTTCATTAGATTTTGATGATCTATGCTCATTCACATTTTCTTCTCCTAACATGCCAGGAGATATGCAGTAAAAGCAGCAGCAGCAGAGAAAGAAGAATTGATGGAGAATGAGAGCAACAGATTATAGAGGCAAACGATATTTCGAGCTGGTGTAGTCATACTGCCAGGCAAATATAGTGTACGCAAACATTAACATTGAACCTTAAGATTATCACTAAGAAAAAGATTCTGGTGAAAATAAGAGTTGCATTAACAATCAGAAGATCATTCCTCGGAGACAAGAAAAGAACGGACTGATAGCATGCAGTATATAATGGAATAGGGATTTAAATTGGTAGTGCATCTGACTGACTACTCATAAAGGGAACAGAAGAGCAAGTACACAACCTAAAGATATAGACATCATTGCAAGAATCACATGCAGAAGTAAGGTGATGGGGGCAACACATGTCCTTAAAGAGATGACAGGGTGAAGGAGGTTGTGAGAGAATGGCATTGTGTGGGGCTGTTTGTGGATGGTTGGACTAGGTTGTGCTGGGTCAGACAGCAGTTTTTTTGATATACTTACTTTCTGGAGACAAACCCTCAAGAGATCTTCTACGTACCCTGCGTAGTTTAACAGTGACAGCTTGATAGGCAAAGAAGTAGAGAATGAGCAGTGACAATATGAGAAAGAAGTAGTTGAGTAAGCATGCCGAAAAAAGTACTCAAGAAAAGTATAGAATACATCCAAAAACTCATGTGCAAGTACAGTAGCTATGATGCACAGTAACTTTATCAAAGTAAGACTTGTACTCCTCTCAATCACATGCACAATCATATCAAATAACTGCTAAAGATCAACTAAACTTGTGAAACTATATACATTCTGCACCTAGAAAATTTTATAAAATCAGAAACACTGGTTGAACAGAAAAACTTACGTCTTACATGTACATAGTGAGGTGTACACAGTCAGATTTGTAAAAAATGTGTTTATATAACAGTGCATTGCTTAAAAGGCGACATTGTTTACATGCACTGCATGAAAACCACCAGCCTTTAAGCAACAAATAGATCGTGTTTGCAACAGTGGAAATACCGCCCTGGCATTATCATTAAAATTCACATTACAGATTACCAATCGCTCTATTTTTAACAGCATTTTAAATAATTTGAAGCTAGCAAATGCAGTAATACATTTACTGTTGCAGTATGGGTAATTACATTACGATACGACTGGTGATTATCATGAGCATAGTTATATAAGGTTATAAGCATAGCATGCTTCTAGTGAACAAAACTTACTGTCCGGATCATCCTCAATTTCCTCCGGAGAATCCCTTTGTCTGTGATTCCTCCTTGACTTTGCATCTCCTTAATATTTTGCAACCAAATAAAAGACAAATCAGTAACCAAGAAAGGATATATAATAATAATATCATAAATTGAGCTTTATTTTCCTGCCACTTTGATACCAGAAATTAGCAGGAAAATGTAGGAGTGAGAATCATGTCTAAGTGTGATATTCGAAATGTCACTGAATCCATACAGTAGAAGAAAAAGTCATTACAAACTTACCATCAATATGGTCTTTATTCGTCTTTGTGTGCCTTTTAAATCTCTCATAAAGTTTCTCTACAAAATATAAAATTAATGGATATTTATGAGAAACAACTTACTATGAATAGCTTTTCCATATACCTCCATGAATGGCAAGCCCTGCAACTTGATATACTTAAAGATTGTGTTTTAACTTTTGACTTATTTACTGTGATTACATGAAAGAATGAAACAACAGTATTGCAGTATGAGACACTGTTTTGCCAACAAAATAGATATATTACACAAAGTGTTGCTACAAGAAGCAATGACTACATTCTATATAGATACTGCAATATTGCCATTCTATTCTTTCTTGTGGTCAACTTATTATAGTGTGATAAACTGAAAGCTAAATGTGGCACCTCAAGAGTTGAAAATAAATTTCTATGTCAGGATCAGTTCTCACACATATCAAGTTGTTGTTAACATTGATTTGATCTAAAACTATTTAATTGTAATGGACCTGGTAAAGTTTGTTTCATGTCCTGTTTTCCCCTACCAAACTACTATTGGGCTGCACAATGTGTATACCTTTTGTTGGTGTTGATTCCTCTGGAGTACCTGAGTCACCCATGGACAGTAATTTCATGATATCATTTTCATCATCTGTAAAATGACAAGAAAAATATTACGGTGAGTAAGCACATGGCAACCTTTGTGACTACATATTTACATGCTGTGAACGTCATGCAGGGTTGTTATGAAATAAGGATTCCGAAACTGAACGTCTAAGAGAGGAGAGAAAACAAGTTTTATTGATGCTTATTAGAACAATCATGCTTCTTGGTAAATGTTATTTACCATTGTAGCTGCTTTCACTCTTCCCGGTAGATGTGTTTTCACCTGAAACAAACATCAGTATTAATACATATACACACACAGGGTGAAGACTGAAGAAAACAGAACAGAACAGGTGCATAACAATAATGAGAAGGTGCAAGACTTTTAGACTTACTATCAGTGTAGTCAGAAAAGGAGTAATCTTCATCCACCCATTGGTAGGAACTTGGTGGTGGAGATGATGGTGGTGGTTGTCCTTAGTTTGGAAAACACAGCAAGTGTATGTTTAGTTACAAAGAGCACACATAAAAAGGAAAGCAGTGTGTCAAAAATAAACACAGCATGCAATGCGCAGATTGAATCCAACAATGGATGTTATGTGTTAAATTAGTAGTAAACAAACTTTTTCCAAACGCCTGAAACACAATGAGCAATGTTAGTGATGCTACATTAGTCTTAACACTTAGTATTTCACAAATCATGACTCACTTTCATTTTTCTCAGAAGAATTCTGACTTTTTCCTTAAAAGAGTAAAGGAGTATGATAAACAATCAAATGCAAACATAAAAAGGGAAACAGGAGAGTGTTAGCATAGATTGCTCCTTCCATTATGCTACAATGTCTGATGTCAATAACTTCAATTCATGCTTCATCTTAGGTATATGCAGAGAAATACTGAATATGAGGCATCATATCAATAAAACAATATATGCCATTCCTTAAATTCATTCATTACCAACATGGATAGCATTGACATGCATTACCAAATGATTCCATTGCTTTAGCAAAATGCAAAGGAATTAATCAACATCAACTCACTATCTGTCTCTATATCCACACTCTCACACTCTCTACTTTTAGAGTGATAACCAGAATGTTTTCTTTTCTGTCTACTCTTACTAGAATGCACAGTAATCTTTCCTGTGGCTGTGATTTTATGAGTTGGGTGACCAGAGTGTTTTCCTTTAAAGATGGATAAAAAAACTTGATATAATCTCAGAAGCGAGAAAATAGCATTACAAATAACAGACGTTAGATTGACAGAGGTGTCATAGGAGCTGTACAAGGAAAAACTGATCTAAAATATACGAAGGGGAAATAGTGCGTAGTAGATATTTCAGAATATTTCAGTAAGTCAAGATGTGAGAGTGATATAACTTACTTCTGCGTCTGTACTTCTTTTTACAAGATGACAAATCCACTATAGTAGAGGGGAAGGTGGAAGAGAACAGAATAGAAGAAGAAAAGTAATAAATGACGTGCAGGAGATTAAGAACTAGGGTCTATCAAATTGTGCACAGTGATAGCTAATCCAGCAACAACATGATACGATGGATTGACTTGGTACATGATAATAAACCAGTAAAATAGCAAATTAGCATCTTAGAACAGCATTACAGCTAAGTCAGTCAGTTGTTCAACACTGTAACAATATTATTTGTAATTAAAAGAGTCAGGATTCTCTAACTCAGTTATACAGTAATACTTTTAATCTGTAATAGAATTCAATTTAAATTTCATCACAATTCCATGCAGTGATGACAGTGTGTACAAAATACAATATCAGCACACACATTAACAATGTAAATGAAGTTCTAAGTAAATAAATGTGTTTTAGTTTATATGAGTTTATAGTTAATACTGTAAAACACATTTTATTTAGTTGCCATTATAGCTAATTTGACTCAATACATGAATTAACAGAATCTTAATTTTGCTAAAGTGCCAAAGAATTACTTTATTTCAAAATAGCGACACCTTGAATTAGCGAAATTACGGATTAGGTAAAATAACATGCTAGCTGTTTTACACTGTGTTGCTTACAAACACAATTAAAACCAGTCCAAACTAATAAATTGGAGAAGTCATTGCAGGTTTCTAGTATGTATATAACATACTGTCCTATTAAATATCATGTTAATGCATGATTCAGGGTATCCTGCAACCCAGTGAAGGCATTGCAGGTTTCTAGTATGTTTATAGCATATCCTCAATAGCTTCACTGGGCTGCTGTACAATACAATGTAAAATCTTTCTAAACAGTAATGGTCTCCAAATTTCTGCTAGACTGACAAGCATATGCAGGAAGCGAACATACAACCCTGTGGGGCAGTTTCAGCCGCGAGTGATGCGTCCATGTGCATGTAACGCAGGTCAATATGACATTTAAACCAGTCAGCAAATTATGATAAATATGCTATATATCTTTATATAAAAAATATTTTAAAGATAATCAATTTAACATAAGTAATTAAATTGTTAAGAATATACTTCCTCAGCATGTATCTAAATTTTCACTGCCAGGAATGACTGATATAAAAGTGAATTTGCAAGAATTAAAATTCCCAATGGTCACCGAAATCATGAACATTAGTGGCAGTGGAAATTCAGTAGTTTACAGTAGGATAAAACAGTTTGCCTTGAAGGTGAACATGCTTTTTGAAAAATCTTATCGCAGAAAATGACTGCAAGGAAATAAGTAGATTATTTACAAAACATGCAATTCAACTGCTATGGATAGGCATCTTTATTTGTGAGGCTTAATCATGTTAAAGAATGAATGACGAGTTTTGTGCAAAAAGATTGCACTTACCATCACTACTACACTGTACAGGTTGGGGCCTTCTGTTATGGTAATAGTCTAGTTAGAACACACAAAACACAGTACATCAATGTTAAGTTAAAAGAAAACTCATGAAAACAAACGAAATGTGAATGAGCTAAGGTTAATTATTGTACACTGAAAGTCATTACCACATGCAATTAACCTACCTTGTTTTCGTGAGTACACCCGATTAGAACTTTGATCTTTTTTAAATAAATGGAAAGAAGTGGAAGAATGAAAATTTGAGGTAACACAAGAGTATATGACTGAATAATTGTTGCATTGCACATATAAGTTGTCTTCCTAAATCAGAAACACAGAATATGAACACATATATTTGTGTGTGTAAATAGATGGCCAGCTGCTCATTTGATATTGAATTACTTTATGGTTACAGACAGACAGACAACATGCTTCTGGAACAAGACCAGTTTCCACAGATTAACATATATATAGAATCCATTGATTCTTAATTGGAAAATTTCAGATACTCAAACTTCTACATTCTTAAAAAAGAATATGACCACAAAATATCACAACCTCATTCTAACCATATGGATAATCTGTGTGTGTGGACAACATTTCAAGTACTGGTAGATCACCCTAAAGAAATCCAAGCATTCACTAGAAGGGAGAGTACATTTCTATTTCGGAATAATTTGGGGTGGGGAAATAGATTTGGACAATACAAACCATGATTCAATGCTTCTTCATCACTGAATGGTTCTGAACCAGACTCGTATTCACTGACAAGAGATTCACTGCCCTCAGCTTTATTCACAAAAAAAAGTAAGTATCAGTAACTAGACATTTAAAACGTATATTACTAATGGTTATATTACTAACTTTTCACATTGAGCAATAGATTTTCACTCATTTACAAGAATTTATATTTTACGTTGTTAATTATATATAAAAGAATAAATTGTTTTGAAAACTTGGTTAGCATCAATTAAAGCTGATACAGAACTACTGTTGCTGTTTGAAAAAAATATAAGTTATGAATTATTATTTCATGCTTTTACCAGCTTCGAACTTTGCATATACATGAACATGAATGTTTAACTTTATACTGAGTTTAAAAAAATAAACATAACAGCGATAGTTTTTATTTGTACAAAACAGTAATTTTAAGTGCATTATATTTATGTGCAATTTGGCATTACTCATGAGATAGAATTGATACTGTTAATTAATTATGTTAATTATTTCATTTACATGCACAACATGTAAAATCTGTGAGTTACTCACACTCAGAATAAGAGTCAGAAGAAAAAGAATTGAAAGTATCCTTGGTGGTGACTGTTTCCATTCCTAGGAATTGGGTGAAACACATCAAAGTGAGGAGAATCACAGCACACAACGAAGTGGAGAAAATACATGCAAAGTAATAGAAAAGAGAAACTGAAAGCCAGACTTGTAATGTAAGGAGGTATAGCAGCTACTTACTGTCTGTTGTATCTGCACCACCTGCTTTATTTGTTGGCCAGATTGGGCCAGCTGGTAAATCAGCTTAAAGAAAAGAAGGGGAATGAAGAGAATGAAAGAAAGATGGAAGCAAGAAGAGGACTTCTGATTCAGTGGAAACAAAAAACTATGTTATAATGTATGTATGTAATAGATTCCCAACGGCGTGACAACAGTATAATATTGCTAGGAATATTATTAAACCTGTTAACTCATTTCATGTTAGGGGATTCAGTTAACATGTGTACAGAATAAAATGGAATAGCGTTAATTGTGGTGCTTTGTGTTATGTCATATTCTAAAACATTGCACACATCATTTGATCTGGATGCAGAAGTGTGACATCCATTGAATAATCTTGCATTGGGCATCTGGTGCAATCTGTTAAAACATTGTGTAGATAGAAGCTAGGGTTGCTTTTAATAGATGATTGCTGATTATGGCATCTGGTTTACATGCCTCTTAATAACTGACGCATTATCAATTCAGTAGCCAATCCGAGATTGTGTTTCAAATTGCTTACTAGAACGACATAACCTGTTTAATAAGGCATGCTCTAATTGGTTGACAAATACCATCAGAGCTGCAGAATACAGTTTGCATAGGTCCTTGGTTAGAGGCTTGTACACCAGCAACCATAAACATAGATAAGAAACAACCAGAGTGTCTACCTACATCAGGTGTTAATCAGATTGCTCCCAGTGTTCAAAAGTTTATATTAGTGTCTAAATGGTGTGTAGCATGCAGTTAGTGATTACAACTACTGCAGAGATTTTCCAAGTTTAGTTTGTTAGACAGGTACTGAGAACAACAACCTACCCTCAGGTTCTTTCTTTAGTTTGTGTTCCCCTTTTAGGAAAGATAAACAAGAGTATATGAGAGCAAGAAGAAGAAAGAAATACTAGAGCCTAGAAAGAAGTTACGAAGAGTAGACAAAACACAGAAAAACAAAGAAAGGTGGCATGCAAACACACTCACTCTCATGTGAAGTAGAGGAAGAACTGGACTTCTTTTGTATCTCATTTTCTGGGTAAATATGAAAAGCAAATAAGAGTGTCAACAATGAAAATCACACAGGAGGATTAGGATCACAACAAATAACAAAACGAGTATCAACCACTCACATTTCAAAAATCCTATAAGACCTCAGAGCATGTGATGATGCTCAGTACATTGATTTAGAACAACATACACACTTTTACAAAGAGTGTGTAGTTGTCTATGCTTAACCATTTTACATTTTCTGTTTTACTTTCTAATTCTAAATTTCAGTGTTATTTTTTGTTAACAGAGTTTGATGACACTTACAGATTTGGATTAAAGTTTCTGGAATATTTATTTTTGTTGACCAAGACGATGGTATGGACTATTTTGTGAACACCGCAAAAAAAGTTGTGCATACTTGCTTCTATAGCCAGGCCCATAGAACTCATGAACATTTTGATGTCTAGGAAACACAACATGAACAGGTATTTTGAACTTACTGTCTTGGGCAATGGAATCGGTTTTTGATTTACGATCACCTTAGAAATGGAAGAAACAGACAACGTTGTGAACAAGAAGAAAGTAGGGAAACCATACTGGTGATATTTACACTGCACAATAGTAAACACCTTGCAGGTAATATTAAAAGTTAATAAATCATTTGTACATTGTTATAGTTCAATGCTGTACACATAGTGAAATCAAATGAGTGATATCAGTGGTTTTGAAAAGAATTAATCCATGTGTGACCATTTCGGTGGCAAAAACCATGTCAATGAGTATACAGATAAAAGATCATTTTCACCATAAACCATAGACAAGACAGATGAATATCACAGCACAAGGTAGTTTTTAACCCTCACATGCATACACAGGCAGCAGTCAGATGAAATCCATAAACTAAATGTAAGTACTACAGACAAACAAAATATCAGTAGGGGAATTCAACCATCAAGTGTTTACAACAAATACGCAGGTTGAGGGAAACTGTAATTAGTGGTAGCAAAATCAACTACATGTATTAAAGTTAGAATGCAGGCATTGCATATACCCTACCCTATCTGCAGCAACCATACTTACTACTAGCATGACTCAAAGATGCAAGAACGTATGTATCGGACAGCATGTTATAGTAGTCCTTATCGACTTTAACAAATCCGCCTTGTGGGAGGAAAAAGGAAATGAGAAAGTTTACATAGAAACAAAAAGACTAGCTAAAGTCAATGCAATGACAATTTGATAATAAAAAAAAATGAAAAAGATAAATGAAATATGTAGCAAGCAAGTAGCACTTTCGAGTAGAGAGAGGAGTAGAAATACTCACTGCCATCACCAGAAGGTGAACCAATGGGTGTCTGCTTAATTGGAGCAGGCTCACAGTCTCCTTTAGGTTAAAATGGTACAGATATGAAGTAAGCATCAAGAGTATGATTGATATTTAAAATCTACTAGAGCAATATAGATTTTGATGGACAAAAACCACCACATATCAAACAGATTCAACAATCACAGTAGTTGAAGTCACAATTTAATTGTTTATGGTGTAATTAAATGTTTAACTGGTACTGTTATGTATTCACTTTTTAATTTAATTGAAGAGTAGAGAGCAATTGACTGTAAAATGCATGCACAGGAGACAATATGACCGCATAGGGCAGCAGGTGACTGCAATAATATGCTTACTTTCTGGAGATCCAGCTCTTTGCTGTTTATAATGCTTAAAAGTTGCAGCAAGGGCACCTTAAAAGAGAAACAATGTATGTATGCATCAACAGAAGGAAAGATGACTTTCAAGAGTACTGAAATAATAGTCTGGACTAAAATTTTAATATTTTAAGCATTGAAGTGATCATAAAATTCATATTTATATTCACATTTATGTACCGGTAATACAAATGGCAAGCATTTATAAGTGTTCTTGATAGACATAGTGTAGGTGACAAAAATGTCAGTAGTGAAGTGTATTGACTCTCAATTATAGCACTGTTAAGCACCACAGCTAAACAAACCTTTTAGCTGTATGTAATTCATTTTTTTTTCTGTTATATGCTATTAAATTTAGTGCGCAATTGTCAACACATGTTTCAAAAACATTTTAAACTTTTTAATGAACTAAAACATCAACATAGTTTGAAGGAAATCAGATAATTTAACAATCAAAGAACCTTCAATATAAATAACCAAGCATCAATAATACAGCTGAAATTACTTTGCATGTAGATGTGACAGTTAACCACCAGATGGTGACAATGTAGTGCATTTATCTGTTAGTCTTATCCACTGATCACACTTAACAACTTTCCGTAGAGTAACCTGATAAGGTTTACGAA